GACTCCGTTTTCCCAAGGTTTGTAACTTTACTTGCAATCTGCCCAGCCCAATGGTACCTTCTGCTAGGAGTGTAAGGAGCTCTGGTAGCACAGTGCCTAAGGCATCTGACTGCTAACTAGAAGGTTGGCGGTTCAAACCCACCAGCCGCTCCGCGGAGGCAAGACCAGGCAATCTGCTTCCGTAAAGATTTACCGCCTCGGAAATCCAACGGGGGTCGCTACGAGTCGGAATCGACTGGATGGCAGTGGGCTGGGTTTGGTTGGTTTTAGTGGGACTGCAGACCGGCGTCAGGCTACGGGAACTCCCCGGGGCTGTGTTCGTCCAGTAGCCCTTGTTTTGACGGCTGGGACGGGCAGGCACAGAGGCCCACTTCTCCGAAGCGCTGTCTTTTCTGGGTCTACTTCCCCACACATTCTTCCCAAGAATATTGTGAGTTTAGGGTCCCTGACACCAAGCCTCCTGACGCCACGGAGCTGTGGGAACACCCGGCCCCGCAGCCCTTCCCCGCAGCGGCTCCGAGCCTGTTGCTCCAGGCGACGGCCGGCCGGGGCCGACTCCTCCACTGAGGAGTCTCGGGAGGGGGCCCGGGCCGCCTGTGTCTTCCCGAGGCAGCAAGAACGCCATACTCGCGGTATCGTAAGCCTTGAGGGTGCACTGAGGCCACCAGCCTCGCTAGGAGGCTGCCCGTCAGAGGCTCCCGCCTGCCCTCTCAGAACCTCCACAAGTTTCCAAAGAAGCGTAGCGTCTCCTCCGGAGTCTCCGGTTGCCCGCCCCTCTAGGAGCCGCACCACGGCCTTCCCGGGCATGGCTGTCCCTTCGACTCGTTCCCTTCCCGCACCGCCCCTACTCCCAGGGCCCTTACAAGACCTCCTGGTCTAGGAGAAAAAGAAACGACCACTCACAGCTTCACTACATTTTCCACCACAGCCGCCATCTTCCCTGCTCCTCTCCCTCAGGCCGGGAGGCCCCGGAGCCTGCAACGCGCAGGCGCCGGGACCGCACCGAGGAGCGCGTTTCCTTCTCCCTCTGCGCAGGCGCCGCTTGGGCGCGCGCGCGCCCGAGAACGAGCGCAGAAGAACAGCCCGCAGACCGGTTCTTCCGCGCGGGGCTGGAGAGGCGCGAGGAAGCTGAAAGAAGCGCGCAGGCGCGACCGGGAACAAGCACGCGCCCCGCGGCTCCTGTTTTCTTCGATTTGGAGGATCTGGAGGAGGGAGGAAGGTTCTGTCTCATCCAGAAGTGAGTAGGCAAAATATTGGCAAGTACAGTGGGCGTTCCAGAGAAGGCCTGAAATGAGCGCATGCGTCCTGATGCCTAACCCACCTTTAACCACGTGGTTAACCCTTATACCTTTACTCATAAGTGAGGCTTGGTGGGTATGGAAGGTAAAAGTGGCGTACAGCCCACTTGTGTTCATTTTAGGGGAAGGGGAGGGGAGGAGCGGGTAGCAAAAGTTATCTCATCTCTCTGCCACCATCCCTACCCACTGAACTGTGCGGAATATGTGGGTAAGGACACCGTAGTGGAAGCAGGAGGTGCAGCCTCTTGCATTCTCAACCATTGATGCTTTTACAAAATGTATCCTATTCCTACAACTGCGGGCTGGATTCTGTCTGATTTAGAGCCATTAGGACCCAAGGAGCCCTCGGGTGGCGCAAATGGTTGAGCGCCACTACTACCTGAAAGATTGGGAATGAAGTCAGGCGTGGCAGTCAGCTTCCAAAATGTCGCAGCCCTGAAAACCCTGTGGAACACAGTTTTACGTCGCCATGAGAATCACTTCCAGGGCAACTCATTACACGACCCAAGGGAGGAATGCTTCCACCAGGGGGCGCAATGTGGATTACTCAAAATTGGTCGCTAAACCTGTCAAAGGAGCTCTGGTGGCGTAGTGTCTAAGGCACTTGACTGCTAACCAGAAGGCTGGCGGTTCAAACCCACCAGCCACTCCTCAAAGGAAGGTTGGGCAATGTACTTCCGTAGTGATAGCGCCTGGGAAACCCAAGGAGGGGTCTATAAGTCGGGTCCGACTTGATGGCACATAAAAACAACAACCCTGTCAATGGACCATTTTGAGCACCCATAACACTGGGCAAAAAAGTGTGTTGGCTGGTGTGATTGAGTGTAATTATCAAACCCAGAGACAATATCACATGCAAGTAGAATTTTGCTGAAGATAATTCAAAAACGGTTGCAGCAGTATATTGACAGGGAACTTCCAAAAATGCCAGCTGGATTCAGAAGAGAATGTGAAACAAAGGATATCATTGCTGATGTCAGGTGGATCTTGGCTGGAAGGAAAAAATACCAGAAAGATGTTTACTTGTGTTTTATTGACTATGCTAAAGCATTCAACTGTATGGATCATAACAAATTATAGTTAACATTGAGAAGAATGGGAATTTCAGAACACTTAATTGTGCTTATGAGGAACCTGTACATAGACCAGGAGGCTGTCGTTCAAGCAGAGCAAGGAGACACTGCATGGTTTAAAATCAGGAAGGGAATGCGTCAGGGTTGTATCCTTTCACCATACTTACTCTATATACTGAGCAAATGATCCTAGAACCTGGACTATATGAAAAAGAATGTGGCATCAGGATTGGAGGAAGACTGATTAACAATGTGGGATATGCAGATGACACAACTTTGCTTGCTGAAAGTGAAGAAGACTTAAGCATTTACTGATGAAGATTAAAGAGTATAGTTTGCAGTATGGATTATACGTTAGTATAAAGAAAATGAAAATCCTCACAACTGGACCATTAAGCAGCATCATGATACATGGAGAAAATATTGAAGTTGTCAAAGATTTCATATTACTTTGTTCCACTGTCAACAATGGAAAGAGCAGTCAGGAAATCACATGACGTATTGCACTGGGCAAATGTGCTGCGAAAGACCTCTTTAAAGTGCTGAAGAGCAAAGATGTCTCTTTCAAGACTAAGGTACACCTAACTCAAGCCATGGTATTTTCAGTAGCCGCATATGCATGTTAGAGTTGGACAGTGAATAAGGAAGACCGAAGGAGAGTTGATGCTTTTGAGTGGTGTTGTTGGTGAAGAATACTGAAAGTACCATGGACTGCCAGAAGAACTAACAAATCTGTCCTGGAAGAAGTGCAGCCGGAATGCGCCTCAGAAGTGAGAATGGCCAGACTTCGTCTCACCTCCTTTGGTCGTATTGTCAGAAGGGACCATTCCATGGAGAAGGATGTCATGCTGGGTAACATGGAGGATCAGCGAAGAAGGGAAAGGCAACAGTGGGCTCAGGTATAGCAGGGATCGTGAGGCTGGCACAGGACCCTGTACACAGGGTAGCTGTGAGTTGAAGCTGACTCAACAACACTGCCATCAAGTCAATTCCAACTCATAGCAACCCCATTGGGTTTTCAGGGCTGTATATCTTTACAGACGTAGATTGTCTCATCTTCCTCCCGTGGAGCAGCTGGTGAGTTTGAACCACTGACCTTCTGGTTAGTAGCCAAATGCCTTACCCACTACATCACCAAAGCTCCTTGTATTACCCAGAGAGCAGGGAGGGATGTAAGTGAAACTCAAGGAATCCCCTGGGGAACCTCTTAACTACATTCAGGGATAAATGTGAGTGAGAGAGAGAGACAGAGACAGACGGGCTCCTAGTTAGGTATTTAAATTGATTTTTCAACTTAAATTAACCGATCCACTGAAGACGAACTAAAAAAACAGGAAATGAACAAGAACACTAACTTTTTAAAGCACTGGAAATCTGATGAAGAATCACTAGGCCAGCATTTAGGAGGTTACAACCCAGAGGTGAGTGCAGCCTGCACAGTGGCTTTTGCCCCGGGGGCATTTGTGATCCGGACACTGTGACAGAAATGTAGCTACTATTTGGTGGTCTTTGGGGGGAGGCACAAAAATCAAAACCCACAGCCTGTCCAAGGTAGGAAGTCAGATCTCCAACCCCCTCCTAGAGCCATACAACACTTTAAGTTGGGACCCAAACTTAGGTTGTGGACTTGCATCCTAGGATCAAGTTAACTGGGTAATCTACAGTGAAATCCCCTGCTAACCTGGGTGGTCAACAGTGAGCTCTGGGACATATGGCCTGTAAAGAACCCTGACCAACCGAGACGCTGGCTGAAGACAAAGGGAACATGTTCTGGGGCGTGGCAGAGGGAAGTAGTTCATATCAGCTATAGTTTCCTTACAGAGAAAGTCTGTACCTGCTACGCGTGGGTCTATTTATTCATGCCGGGTCACGTATATTGTTAAAGTCCTTTCATCTTCCGCTCATCTCCCTTTCCCCCACTCTTGAATATAGGGTGTATTGGTGGTAACTAACTTTAGAATTACTTGACCATGGTGGCACTAGGTCTCCTTAGGCTGCCCGTGTAAGGAACCCTGATGGCAAAACGGTTAAGTGCTCGGCTGCTAACCAAAAGGTTGGTGGTTTGAACCCGCTCAGCGGCTCCCATGGAGAAGGACCTGGTGATCTCCTTCCATGCAGATTACAGCCGAGGAGACCCTGTGGCGCGGTTCTGCTTTGTCACACAGGATCACTGCGAGTCGAAAATCAACTCAACAGCACCTAACAACTGTATATTATTAAAGAGTAAGTACTAGTAATAAGGATGTGCCTGGGAGTTGGATTTTCAAAACAGTAGACCCTAGGGACATTGGTGATTTTTCTGGCTGCCTAACTTTTCTTCTTATTTTGGGGACATGGTGCTTGAACTCCACTATACAAGCTGAAGAGAGACAATCCTTTCACCCCCTGGATGCCTTAGAGTAAGCTGGTAGCCCAAGTTAGTTAGATGCTTAAGGCCTTATGGATTGGATTATGTCTCCCCCAGAATATGTGTTGTGAATCTCAGCCTCTGTGCCTGTGGTTATAACCCCATCTGGGAATGAAAGGGTTGTCTTTGTTACATGAATGACGCAGGATCAGTGTAGGGTGTGTCTTGAGTCAATCTTTCAAGATATAAAAGAGTTGAAACACAAGTTATCAAGGAGAGATGGGAGAAGGCAGGGCAAGCCACCTGAAGATTGCTCAGGAGCAGAAGCTCAGAAGAGACAAGGACCTTCCTCCAGAGGTGACAGAAAGCCCTAAGAGTCAACATCCTGAATTTGAACTTCTAACCTGTGAGAAATTTGGACTTCTGTGAAAAAATAAATTTATTTGTGACCCATATGGCAGCTCCGAGTGTTTTCCCGGGGCCTTTTGGCCTGGTACAGGGTGGGTCAGGACTGGGAGAGCGGCCCAGGATAGGACTGTCCTCCTTGCGTGGTTACTCTGGCCTCAGCTCAGCTGTAGGGTGAGATACTGCCTTCAGGCTGAATCCAGCTTGAAGGGAGTACCCCTTTTCTTGTCTTTGCCTCCCAAGGCAGAAGGGAACAAACACCCGAGCTCTGAGGAGGAGCTTGCAGGCAAGAAGGTGCTGGGCCATCAGCTCCTCCACTCTTTGCCTTCAGACTTTCCATGGCCTGAAGCTGAGCCCCTGTAAGAGTAGGCGTGGCCATCGAGGACGGGCTGTGAGGGCCCCTGGACCTGGGCTGGACTCTTACTCCGGAGGGTTAGGTGAGACCCTGTCTCCACGTGATGGCAGGAACTGCACGTTATGAACAAAGAGCCGTGTGGACCAAGCACAGCCCTGCCTGGTGGAACCCAGCCGCTGGTGTGGAATCTCCACAGGGACCGGAGGCAAGGAAGGCGGGGAGAGGTGGGGGCTGGGGCTTGTGGGGTCAAAAAGGTGGAAAGGAGCAGGTTGAACATGGGCAAAGGGGATCAGCCAGGCTGCACTGGGCTCTGGACACCAGGCCTCATGGAGCCCTCCCCTCCTGGCTGGCTCTGTCCCCACTGCTGGCCTCATTCCAGCACTCCTCTCGGATCTTTGGTGCCCCCTCTGCTGGCCCGGATGGCCTCTGAACCCTGGGTCTGACCATGCTGCCCTCCGGCTCCAAGTCTCTCCACGGTTCCCCGCTGCTTCAGCTTCCGCCTTGCGAGCAAAACTGCCCTAAGCCAGCTCGAGCCACTTTTCCAGCTTCAGAGAGCTGCCCTTGCTGAGCCCCAAGCCACACACCACAATTTTGGATAACCAGTGCTCTGCTGTCCTCATCGGCCCTGTGACGTGGGAATCAAAAGCTCCATTTTACAGGTGGGAAAACTGAGCCTCACACAGGTCAGACCCCGCGGTCTATGCTCTTTCTGCCATGTGGCGCATCCTCACTGTCACTCGCTCTGGTGCCTCAGTGCCTTTGCTTACACTTGAGTGGAAGGCTGTCCTGTCAGGCTTGGATCAGATCACCCGTGGTCATCCTGACATCTCTGCACCCGTCCCCAGGCATTCCTCATCACTTAGTTTGGTTCACAGAGCTCCCTGTTGTTGGAAACCCCCTTACTTGTTTGCAGATGGGCCCTCCTCCTCCCACACTGGAATGTCAGCTCCGAGAGAGTGGGGATCCAGTTTATCTGGCGTCCAGGCACCTGGAGCCACACCTGGCACGTTGTACATGCTCAGTAAACAGCTGGGGCTCCTGCTGACGGGCAGCACGGCCAGGCCCCTCCCGCGCTCCCCCAGCCCTCTGACGCTGGAGAGGCTCCCCACAAGGCCCCTGCCCAAGGTGGGAATGGACAGCCCAGCCCTGAGCCTGGCCCGCACCAGTGCTCTGCCACTGGCCACCACTGGCGAGCGCCCGACCCGGGTGGGGTCAGCCACAGTTGGGCACATGGCCTGTTCCTGCTCAATTCTCAGTACAGGTGCAAATCGGTCTTCCTAAGGGCATGGCCTGCCCCCCCCCCCGACACACACACATACACAGAGGCCTCTGGGACCAGGGTCTCCCCCAGGGTGAGCTCACAGCTCAGAGAGGCTGGCCCAGCTTCAGGAAGGAACCTGAGACAGACGGACAAGGAGCAGAGCCACCAGCAACAGCAGGTTTTATTGCAACCACAGTCCCCCAGTCACATGGGAGAGGGGTCCAGGCGGGACACCTGTGGTCCCGGGTGTGAGGCCCCTGCCCAAGACCTGAAGCCAAAGGTCTGGAACCTCCAGCTGGCTGAGCCCTGCCTCTTTCCTCACCCTGCCCCCAGTCAAGGCATCTGAGGGACAGGGCCGAGTCAGGAGGGAGAGAGATGGGGAGCCCACATCACCCAGGGGTCTGAGAAGGAGGAGCCGTTGGCCATGGGGCTCAGGGCTCTTTGGGCTGATGCCTCCTGCCTTTGTCCTTGGTGGGCTGTTAGGAGGAAGCCATGCGGTGTCCTATGCCCACAAGTTGAAGATGGAGGGAAGGAAACAAAGGCCCCAAATGAGAATCCATGACTGCAGCCACACAGCTGGGACCTGGGCTCTGCCTTCCAGGCCAGAGCTGTGGCCACACACTGCCCCATGTCCACCCCGCCTGGCCCCAGGTGCTATGTGGGGATCTGCATGTGGCCCAGGTCCTGGTCCATGATCTGGAGGACGTCGTCCAGGATGGAAGGCCCCAGATCCACGTGCAGGGAGAGCAGGGAACTGCCATGCGACAGGAAGGGCTCCTCAGCCCCCGCCTGGGGGGTCAGCCCGTTGTGGGCGGGACTGGCTTCCAGAGTCCTCCAGATGTCCATGTCCCCTGCCTCCTGGGGAGAGGGTTGCGGGGAGGGCTGAGGGGTCTCCAGGTGCAGCCGGGGGGGTTTGGGTGGGGCCTGGGCAGGAGGCAGGGTGAGGGCCTGGGGCCCACCGATGACCGGGAGGGAGATGGCGTTCTTGAGTAGTGGGGATGGCCCGTCGGGGAGCTCCCGCCCACACACCGTGGCGGTGCGCGTGAACTGGAAGGGGAGGTCCAAGGGGCCATCCTCTTCGGCCCCCTCAGCCACCGTCCCCGGCAGGAGGTGGAGCTTGCCCTGCAGGAAGGAGATGTCACCGAAGGTGTCACCGCCGCCACCGCTGCCAATGTGAATGGTGTGCCGGAAGTCCCCCAGCGGCGGGCTGATCATGTCCGAGGACAGCAGGTCCCGCAGCTTCTCCTTCTTGCCCTTGCGGCTGCCGCGCTTCAGATAGATGGGCACCTTGGTGGACATGGTGACCTCACCGCCGGGCCTGCTGCTGAGACCGGGGCCTCGTGCTGTGGTTCACCACCCTCCACCGGAACCCAGCTCCAGGCCGGGATGTCAGGTTCCGGAACTTGCCAAAGGGCTGAGGGACTAAGGTGTGGGGTTTGACCTGAGCTGGTCCAAAGAATTAGACAAAGGAAGATCAGAGATCAACTTTGAAGTCGGAGGGTTGAGGTGACAAAACTCCTTTCTCCCAATAGGGTTGAAAACTGGTTCCTGGAAACTAGCAGCAGAAAGGTGGGAAGTCTTGTAGGCAGCGATGTTCCTTGATCTCGTTCCCTGCAATTCCTCCTTGGTTCAGGGCTGAGGAGCTGCTGTGCTCTGAAACACCAAGGGGAAAAGTCAGAGACTGCAGCGTAAAGGTAGCGGGAGCCATCTAGTTCCTGCGAACCCCACAAATCAGCCACGGAAGCCTGTGTGGGGCCACGCTTCTGGGGAAGACACCTCTCCTCACTCACAGACCCCCCGCAGCCGAGGGTCCGGATCACCATCACAGACCCCCTCCCTCGGCAACTGGGGAAACTGAGCCTTGGGCACAGAGTTTCAGGCCAAAGTCACACACAAGGTCCTGGCTTACATCCCTGCCTGGTCTGGCCCCCTAGGCTGACCTCCCTGCACATCAGCTGTGTCCCACAATGTGCCTTGTCTCTTGTCCCTCACTGACCGAGGATATAGATCTTGTCACCATTTTCTCCCACCTACACCAGGAGCTCTGGTGGCGTTGTGCCTAAGGCATTTGACTGCTAACCAGGAAGGTTGGCAGTTCAAACCCACCAACCACTCAGAAGGTTGGGCAATTTCCTTCCGTAGTGATACTGCCTCGGAAACTCAAGGAGGGGTCGCTATGAGTCGACTGGGCACCAGTGGGTAGATTTGGTGCAGGGCTAGACATACAGCAGGTACTTAACAAACACCGGAGTTTCTTTTCTCCTCCAGGTTAGGAGTTCCTTGAGGGAGAGGCAGAGTCTAATTGGTTTCCTCCCTTTCCCCTGCCCTGCCTCTAAGGGGAAAGTGCAGTGGACAGAGAAGAGATAGGTTGGTAGCTGGGCTCTGTCTGTGCCTGGCCACGCTCCTTGAAAATAACCAAAAACCAAACCAAACTCACTGCCATCGAGTCGATTCCAACTCACTGTTTCTGAGGTGGTAAGACTTAACAGGAGTCGATTGTTCCATCTTCCTTCCACGGAGCAGCTGGGGGGTTTGAACCACCAACTTCAGGTTAGCAGTCAAGTCCCTTAGCCACTGCATCCAGAGCTCCTCACATCTCACTGAGTCACCACCACCACTCACGCCCATTTAGAAGTCAGAGCTGAAGACTTTCTGGAGAGATTCCCACAAGGTACCGTAGAGGGTTGGAAGCCAAATGGGAAATGTAGATGGTCCCATCGACTTAAAGCACCCCACTCCTCCCCACTTCTCCAAAAACGCACGTGCATCTACCTACCTACCTACTACCTACCTACCTAGATGGGTCTGTGGGTTTATACTTACGTAAGAACAGAGGAGAATCTGGAGGCCAGTATAACTAGGTTGTCATGTAGGCTACCTAGACTGGGGTGGGGGTTCACCATGGGGGAGGAAAGGTATCCTCAATAAAAATGATCTTTGATCCATCATCGTACATGACATGTGCATGGTATCTATTTCATCTGTCTGTATATATAAAATTAAAGGATGGCCAGCAGTCTGTTGATGGTGTTTTTTTTTCTTTTTTTTTTTAATTGGAAATATATATGTAACGGCAAATATATTTGAGAAAAAACACTCAGCACTTCAATAATCTTCATATGTATACCTCAGTGACATCATGTTTATCATGTTGTCCAACTATTGTTGTTAAGTGCCGTCGAGTCATTTCCGACTCATAGCGACCCCATGCACAGCAGAACGAAACACTGCCCGATTCCGCGCCAGCCCCACAATCCCTGCTATACTTGAGCCCATCATCGCAGCCACCGTATCAATCCATCTCGTTGAAGGCCTCCCC